GATTCTAATGGTATTTTAAGGTTAATATACAAAGTAATGTGTTTCATTGTGTCATTAAAAATTGTTTTATTTATTTTTATTTTATGGGTATGAGTATTTTACCTGCCTATAGGTTAAGTGTACCACTTGCATGCAATGCCCACAGAGGCCAGAAGAGGGTGGCAGATCTCCTGGAATTGAAGTTACAGATGGTTGTCAGTCATCATGTGGGTGCTGGAAACCCAATCTGGGTCCTCTACAAGAGCAGCCAGTGCTGTTAATCGTTGAGTCATCTCTCCAGACCTTATATAATATTTTTTTAGGAACAAGTTGTTAAATAATGCTTGGGTGGGATGGGCGGAAAGGAATCACCCACAAACCATAAACTTTCTACCTCCTATGTCAGTCCATCAAGTATTACTATTCTCTCCTCCTGGTCACTATCTGTTGGCTGAACAGTTTTATTGACAGCTTTATAGAAGAGAGATCATTCCATATCTTACTGTACTCCCTTCCCTTGTTTATGCCTAGTCTACATGACTCAAAGTGCAAAGTTGGACACCTCGACTTCAAAATAAAACTTCTCTGAATATCTCTTAGAATGGCAGAGCACCTGGCAACCTACCTTTGCTAGAGAATGGTACTGCAGCAAAGCAATATATAGTTGGAATCGCAGTCCCCTAACATCTATGTTCAGCCTTGTTTTCCAAAGGATTTCCCTTGAGGATGATTGCCGGGGCTGCAGTTGTGCCTGTACAGCTAAAAATGGCAATAAAAAAGAAAAGAAGCATTATTTTTCACCTGTGAAGAGTCAGAAAAAATTTCAGCATGTCTGGCAAGCCAAACAAGGCTGTAGATAGAGGTCTTCTCTTTCTCTGTGTTGACCTGATAATGAATGAAAACCCTGTACTCCAACCTTACTTGAGATGCAAACAACAAACAGGTGCCCTTTGGAGACACAAAGCACAGCAGAGCTGTTGAAGGAGAGCACTACCTTCAAAACACATGATAAAAACCAGTTTCTTCTCTGTGCTGACTCTAGTTGGGGACATTTTGCTTTCTGGAAAGGAGGCATGGTGCCTGATCACAATAAACACAACTAGAACATCTCAACATACAGTATGCTTAGCAGATAAAGTGACGTTGTCCTAGTTACTTTCTATTGCTGTAATAAAACACTGACCAAAACCAGCTTGGGGAGGAAAATGTTTATTTCCTCTTCCAGGTGACAGCCCATCACTGAGGGAAGTCAGGGAGGAACCTGTAGGCAGGAGCTGAAGCAGAAACCATAGGAACTCTGTTTACTGCCTTGCTCTCCTGGTCTGTGCTCAGCCTGCTTTCTTATACAACCCAGAACAACATGCCCAGGAGATGGCATCACCCACAGTGGGATGGGTCCTCCCACATCACTCAACAATCAAGAAAATGCCTCACAGTCTGATAGAGGAAATTGTCCAATTGAAGTTCCCTCTTCTCGGGTGTGTCAAGTTGACAGCTGAAACTATCCAGCAAAAGCATCATTTAATTTTGATGAGAATTGTACTTTCCAGATGAAAGTAAAGCCCACAGGGTAAACTTCTCACTCTGAATTTCATGGCATTGAACTATTTTGATAATGTGATGCCATGCCTTCTTTGTATGACTACAATTAAAACTTGATTTCATATGATAATGTCTTTCAGATACCAATTTGTTCTCATAAAATTTATTAAATGTGAACAAATCACCCAAAATATTATGTATACCTTTAAACTTTTACAATGGAATGAAGTTCAAAATGGTGTTTGAGTGGTATAAAGGACAAACAGCATTTCTTTTGTAAAAATCTTTCTTACTTTTACTCTTTTGAGACAGGGGATCGTGTAGCCCAGGCTGGCCTCAAATGCTCCAGATGTCCGTCTGACATTCCTGATTCTCCTCCCCGTGCTATCCCAACTTCTGGAATTATAGGCACGAGTACCTATGCCTGCCATATCTTCATTCTTCAGGGAATTTCCTCCAACCTGTGATTTTTATTTTAAAGAACTTCAAAATAGCATGCAAGATGGCTATATTACCTTCCTTCCTAGAATTAGCAATCTGTTACCATTTCTAACGAGAGCTGAATAGCTGTGGTTCGACAGTCATATCCAAAGTGCCTATATGATTGCTATTAAGTACCATATTACAATTGGAAATTAACATTTCTGGTGTGACTTTTTTGGATAAAGGAATCATTTCTACATGTTAAAATAGTAGCATAGATTTCAATCTAATTTAAAATTGTAATGACTTTCATTGAACTTGCTAGGGGAGTGACTGAAATGATAAAGATGGGGTTTTTTTTAAAAAAATTAAGTCAGCCTGTTAGAATGCCTCCAATGTACAAGGCTAATGGAGTCACCTAAGAGTCGGCCTTTTTCCCGACTAAAGGGCTTAGCACGGTCAGTAGGGTTCAAAGAATGAGGATTTCCCAAAGAGCCACCTCATGCCTGGAGCCACCAGACTGGGCTTGTGTGTACAAATAGCAAGCCTGGAAGCTGAAGTTTTCCCCCATCTTTAATCTGTTTTGATCCCTTTGTTAGCTTCTGAGTATGTAAAACTTTACTGCTGAATCATTGTCATAACTTAGAATCAAAGAGCAATTTGAGATTTTCCAACCAACATGTTATGTTGTCTGAATCAGATCCTGAAGCTAAGGAGATCGGATTTGATGTGAATATGGTGGGAATCATCTTTGGGGAAAGAGTGAGGGAATTTTCTCATAGGAGTCCATGACAGCTTTGAACTCTCTGGTACATTAATTCCTAGTGAATGAGAAGGTTTTTTCTATCTTCCCTGGAAAAGATGCTTGTGAGGACTCTGATGGATTGATGAATTGAGGTCAGAATCTGCTTGTGTGCATCCTGACATCTGCTTAATGAGGCTGGTCATTGGGGGAAAGGCAGGTCTTCAGTAGAAGTTAGAGAATCATATAAGATACTGGGCTGGAAGGAGCTTATAGGTCATTAGACCCAGACAGTTTTGTTGGATCCAGCTAGTAGAAGTCAATTGCCACATTGTTTTAGGATTTGGGGGTGCCACATATAAAACCCAGCCATTATCAAAATTAAATCATATAAACTAACAGTTACATTACATTAAAAATAAAGGTAATAATGCTCAAAGCCTAGTACTTCTTAACTCTTATTATCCCCTACCATTATCTCTACTTGTGTATATACATGGGTGTGGGTGTCTGTTTTAATGCATGGACATGTATGCACATGAGACCTGAGGTGAATCTTAGGTGTGATTCCTTGATGTCTACCTTGTTTATTGAAGCAAGGTATCTCACTGGCCGGCGGCTGACCAGTTAGGCCAATTGGCCATTGAGCCCCCACTCAATGTTCTTCAGCTCTTGATGGAGATCAAACTCAGATCTTCACATGTAAGAATTTACTGATGGAGCCATCTCCTGAACCCCGTTATCTGCACTCTTGATGTTATTTATGTTTAAGACTCTGACATTAGCCTTGTTATCAGCATTCTGAGTGCAGTCATTAACATTGACATATTGAAGATATTTGGTGTGTACCAGGTCAGTTCATGGTGGGAGCTGCAGCCAACTGATACCTCTGAGGGACCTTCCTCTTTTTAAAGAATTTCCTTTCAGGGTACAAATTTAGGATATTTTCCTTGAAGAAAGCCAGTTATTAAACATTCACCAGAATCCTACCGAACCTTTTTTTTTATATGCCTGAAACTACTGACAGAATTATCTGTCATAAACAACCTGAAAGTTTTTTTAATTAATTTTTTTATGTGCATGCATATTTTGCCTGCATATATGTAAGTTCACACAATGCCCATGGAAATCAGAAGAGGACGTTGAATCCCCTGGAACTAGAATTACTGGATGGCCGTTAGCTGCCATGTGGGTGCTTGGGAACCAAACCCTGGGCCTCTACAAGAGTAACCAGTGCTCTTAACTACTAAACCACCTCTCCAGCTCTGGAAGAATTTATTTTGGTTCACAGTTTCAGAGGTTTCAGCCCATGATCACTTGGCTCCGTGAGATTGGGGAGAACAACATGGCAGGGAGAGCATGTGGCAGAGGAGAGCTGTTCTTTACTTCTCAGCAGACAAGAAGCAGACACAATGCCAGTGTTTACTGCTTTTTCCCTTTTGGTCCATCTCCAGCCCTTGAAATGGTGCCACTCACATTCAGGGTGAATCTCTACCCTGTCAGTTACTCCTCTTCAGAAACGGTATCATAGACCCATACAGAGGTGTACCTCACTAGTCTCCTAGGTGACTCAATCCATTCAAGTTAACAGTGGAAATGAGCCATCACAACTAAGATGCAGAGATGTGCAGTTCTGCAGCCAGCAGCTGTCAGGGTCAAGATTAGACTTATGTCTCTCAGTGCTGGTCTCTGCTGCCTCCTTTGCTGTCTCGCTGCTCAGAACCAGCAGTCCTATAAGGCACAAAGAACAGGAATCACAGTTATCTATAGACACTTATCTCCAGGGCCCTCGCATCAGTGATGCCAACACTGAGGGGACTCGGGTCAGATATAAGGAGAAGAGATACTTAGCTAAGAGGGAAGACAAATTCAGCTCCTGGTTGGCAGTCAATTCAGTTTTGGAGGGCAGCAAAGGAAATGATGAAGAGGAGGCAGAGACTGGATGCTTAATTTTGCCTTTGGTTCATGGCGACAGTTAATAGAGGAATGAATAAAAGATAACACCACCATCTGGTAGTGTGGTAGAGATGTATTTGATAATTAATTTTGCATCTCCTTCATGAATTGCAGGCTTCATGAGGACAGGGGTCTTTCCTTGTGTGACATTGTGTACTCAGCCCCTGGTATACAGAAAGGGTTCTATAAATGTTTCGGGGAATGAATAGCAATCCAGCTGCTTCTCAGCATTATATGGCTAACTCCCAAGGGGATGCTTCACCCAGAGCATGATGCCTGGTGGAGTTCAACCCAGGGAGTGCAAAGACTTTGTCTGACTTCTAGACTCTCAGTGACCATTGTCTGTCTTCTCCCATAGATGACGGAGGGCCGCCGATGTCAAGTACATCTCCTTGATGACAGAAAGCTGGAACTCCTAGTACAGGTAAATCCCTCTGGGACTACTTCCCTAGTTTCTTCTGTGACTAAGGTACTTGCTGCAGTTGGTGGCTTCAATGGTGAATGGAGAGTTATGTTTAAGAATCTGACATTGGCCTTGTATCAGCATTCTAAGGATGGTCATTAACTGACATACTGAAGATATTCATGTGTACTAGGTCAGTTCATGGCAGGAGCTGCAGCCAACTGACTCTTCTGAGGGCCATTGCTCTTCAAAGGATTTCCTTTGAGGGTAATGCCATTTCACATCGCTATCAAAATCTTTCGGACAATGGCTGGTACAAGCCAAGGTGTTTAGTGTGTGTGTGTGTGTGTGTGTGTGTGTGTGTGTGTGTGTGCTATTTTTACTCATTCTGTTTCTATGTACATCATGCCTCAGGCATTCAAGGCCAGATGTGTATCTACCCTATTGTTAAGAATCTCTAGAAAAGGAAATTCCACAACTGTTAACCATTCTTTCTGTTTAGGAGTTAATGGCTGTGTCACCCAAATAACTCCTGCTGTAACAAAAACTGATGCCATCTCTCTTGCTCAGAGAACAGAGAATAGTTCATTCTTTTCAAATTAAACTTTCATAATCCATGAAGAAAGAGGAACGATCTCTATGTTCTGTCTGCACTAAGGGCTAAACGGGGCCCTTTTTCACTCCATCCCCTGGGTTGATGTGATCAGCAATGACAAACATCTGGAGAAACCGAGATGGAAAATCAACTCGGTTTCACCCCGTCTAAGAGCGCATATGAATCATAAAAGTCACAGAAGGCACTAGAATTCCAGTCTTTACTCATGTTCACCTTGTTCTGGAAGAGATAATTATTTCACCCGGATCCTAAAGAATGATGTTGTTTCCAAACTGAACGTAAAGTCCTTTAAACATCTGTGGTTCAACTCCAACTTTTATAGCTCTTTTGGCTTGCTAGTCTCCAATGTCTTTCTCAGAATCTCAGAATGGTCTCCTCAATCACACAAATACACACACACACACACACACACACACACACGGAAGTACTGTGTATGTGTGTCTCTGTGTGTGCACATATAAAGACCAGAAGTTAATTTTGTCTCCTTCAGTCACTTTCTACCTTATGTTTTGAGACAGGATCGCTTATTGAACCTAGAGCTTTCTGATTTGGCTAAACTGGCTGGCCAGTTAGCTCCAGGGACCTGTCCTCCTCAGCACTGGCATTACTGATGTGTGCCCCTGTGCCTGGCTTTTATGTTGATTGCTGGGGGTTCTCAATTCAGGCTCTCAGGCTTGAGTGACAAGCACTGTGGTAACTGAGCCATCTACCTAACCCACATGTATGTATATATGTATATACATGGGGATTCTTTGAGAATCAGTCTTGCTATGTAGCCCAGGCTTGACTTGAAATCTTGGCATCCTCCTATTTCAACCCCCCAAGTGCTGGGATTACAGACATGTGCCATCATACCCAGCAACTCCATGGCCTTTTGCCATGAAATGCTACAGTTCATCAGAGCTCTGGAATATGTTCATTGTCACGTCAAAAGGCACATTGTAAACCATTCATTTGAAGGCTTGTGTCTGTGGCCTTGTTACTTGCTGCCTGGGCTTAAAAATGGTCCAGTTGCAGACTTTAAGAGTGAATGCTTTCAATAGGATTCCAATAACCAATTCATTTCAATGCAACATAAGAAATTAAAAAATGATACCATAACGACATCACACAAATGCAATTATTATTCTTATTCTTATGAATTTCTTCCCAGCATTTTTCACATTTATACTTGTCTCATGGTTATAGTCATAATATAAGTCCAATGCTGTGTGTTTTATTTTTTTGTATAACAATGTCTCTCACTGGCATTTCCTAAAGTCACAGTAACTTGTCATCTTTGTTAAGAGCTGCATAAATTGCAGAAACGGATATACTGTTACTATCTAATCATTCACCCATTGGGGTACATTTAAGGTGTTGTCTCTTTTCTTTTTCTCATCTTGTTACAAACAAGTGCTGTGATTACCTTATTCTCATGTGTACTTTCCCCCATTTCAGATTATCTTCTTATTAGGCTACATTCCGTGGCCTATGGTCTGGTTATAAAAGTCAGCCTGTGTTTTGCGTTTGGGTGAATGAGGCAATAAAGGGGAACTGTAAATTGAACAAGAGATTTTCAATTAGCCAAGTCGTTCACTCACAGGCATCTGATGCTTTAAGTTGTTAAGAATGAGTGGAGGAATGGCTGGATAGACAGCTCAGCAGTTAAGAGCGCTGGCTGCTCTTGCAGAGGATCCCTGTTTGGTTCCTACCACACCCACAAGGCTGCTAACAATCACAACTGTGTGTGACTTGGGTTTTCAGGGGATCTGATTCCCCCTTCTGGCCTTGATGGGCACTGTCTGTTCACCTAGATAATTCAGGCAACAAGAGTAGAGGAGTTTGCAGAGGAATGGTCCTGTAATGTTCTCTGAAATCAAAGCTTGGTGCTGGGAAGGAAGGCACCTTCTCGAACAGGAAATGAGATCTCAAATAGCAGTCAGTTACTGCCAGTTGTCTAGCCAGCCTTGGGAAAATGTTAATGGGGGTAATTGATATGGACTTGAGTCCAGGAAATATGTACAATTACTGATTTGTACAGTTTAGGAATAATTATCTCGAACCATACAAAGTCAAGAAATTTTAAACTAGGTCAAGCAAGAAGAACTCATGCTCTTCCTGCCCTTTGTAGAATTTACTTTACCTCTTAGTCCCTCTCCCTGCAGCCCCATTCTTCCGACATCTAGTGCCCCGAACCTAGCTAATTTCTGTTCATTCCATTGAAAGATACAGCATGGAAGGCATTGCCATCTTACCCACGAATGGCTTTCCTTGACCCTCCCTATACTCCTCCTGAGCCTACACTTAGCTGCCCCTGATACGAATTTCTCTCACACAACACATGGCACACCTCATTTGCATTTATGGTGTGATCACCACCATGTACCCCAATACTAGCCTGATGCCTGGCATGCAGTGTCACTAAATACTTATTGTTAGATGAAAGAAATTATGACCCTAAAGCATATTGGTTTTGCTTCCTTAAAGGACTTCTTGCCATAGTGCCAACTGCTCGGCAGAGGTGTATTTTGACACATACAGAGATTTGTGTGTGTGTGTGTGTGTGTGTGTGTGTGTGTGTGTGTATACACCTATATATGGAAAGTTTCTAAACCCCATTGCAGAATGGGATTCAGCATCATTGGGAAAAAACAAGGTTAAATCTATTGGACAAAAGTCAAGTTTCATATTTGCATTTTTCTTCTTCTCTACAAAGTGTTGATGTTGGCATTGTGAGGGGAAACCTTTTTTAAGGCAGTTCTATTACCTGGCTGTATAGATTCACCTCTAGGTCTTAAATGGCACAAAAAATTTGACCCCAAACCCTCGGTGGTTTTTGTTGATGTTGTTGTTAATTTTTTTTAGCTAGCCTACAAAATAATTGGTTTTGTTATAACAATTTCATACATCTGTATCAATGTACTTGGCTCCGACTGTCCTCCCCTGTCCTTCCTCCTACCAGATAGTCTACCCTCCTTCTGTGTGCCTGCTCATGCACATATCGTTAAGTTTGGATTCTATGTATGAAAGAGAACATGCAATTCTTTCTTTCCTCACTGCCGCCATTACCCTCTATCCCTTCTCCCTTTTGACTACTTCCCCCCCAGCCCCATACTTCCCTTTTACCTTCTTGTCATATATATTTAAATATAGATTCTACATATAAGAGAAAACGTAGTATTTGTCTTTCTAACAAAAAAATCCTTATTTTATTCTAATTCCACCAAGTTCTCTCCAAATGATATATATAATTTTATTCTTCTTTACAACTGAATATGCATATATGCTCTGTTTTATTCATCTATTGATTGGCATCTATGTAGCCTCCACATCTTGGCTATTGTGAATAGTGCTGCACTAAGCATGAATGTGCAAGTATCTCTGTGATATGCAGTCTTAGATTCCTTTACTTTTGATGCATATGTTCAGAATCATAAGTTTAGTCATCAGAATACATTAAACATTGAAAGTGTTATCATCATTGTTGTTGTTAAGAAAAAAAATCAGAATATGGGTCATAATCCTTGGACTAAGAAATACCTTTCACAACCTTTTGACCTGGAGTTGCAGAGCTAAGGAGGGAAGGGAAAAGGCATTTTCCAGCTCACTTTACTTAACGAGGTCTGTAAGAGGAGGTAGCAGGTTTCGAGGAAGTGTTTGTCTCCCACAGAAAAACAAGCAAGTTGGTACAAGTTGACCAGCTGAGAAGCATTCATCAGAAGTGGAGAAGTGCCACTTTAGTCTGAAGCTGCATACAGTTAGGGTAGGAGCTCCTCAGATGCAAAGAGACTTGTAGGAGAAATGTTAGATGATGTCCTAATTTGTTTCTTCATTGCTGTGACAAAACACTCTGACCACTACCAACTTGGGGAGGAAAGGGTTTATTTATCTTACATCTCCTGGGTCACAGTTCATCAAGGAGCCCAAGGTAGGAACTCAGGGCAGGAACCTGGAGTCAGGAGCTGTAGCACAGACAGTGGAGGATGACTGCTTACTGACTTGCTCCCCGGGCCCCTGCTCAGCCTGCTTTCTTATGCAACAGAGATCCACCCGTACAGGGGTGGTACCACCCACAGTGGGCTGGGCCCTCCCACATCACACAAGAATCAAGAAAACGCCTCACAGACATGTGGCCAGTTCAATGGAGGCAATTCCCTAATTAAGGCTCCCTCAACCCAGGTGTGTCAAAAAGTTGACACTAAAGCTGTCCAGCATAGATGAGTAAGCTGAATCAACTTCAGCTGTTCACTCTCTCTCTCTGGCCATTAATTACCTCAAGAAGTTAGAGATTGCTTTCTAGGGAGGATGTTGGAGACCCCAGACAGCTGCGTAGATAATTTCATTCAGTGGTATAAATTTGAACATCGATAGCATGTTTTAAAAAAGAAGTGACCACAATTTTAACATTGGGTACTTAACCTATAAAGCAGTTTGAAATTAGTGAATGAAATCTCCATTCCAAATACCTGATTGCTCCCAGTACATGACACATTACTCTCCTAAGGGAGGACAGAAAGTCAACAGAGCGCCTGCTAACAATTAATCCTAAATTCACAGGAAATTAACTGAACTTTTGTCTTTACCATGTAGCTCTGTATGTCCTTAAATACCACTAAGAAGAGCTGGAGAGGTGACATGAATGTTCACCCAGACCATGAGGGTTGCACAAGTACTGCCCAGGTCACCTCCAACCTGTAGTGTCTTGCTCTGACATCTAAAACTTTCTACCACTGACAGATTTACTCAAAAATCCTTTTTCCAGGGACTGAAGTATTGGGGTTTGATTTCTAGCACCCACATGACAGCAAACAACCATCCTTAACTCCAGTTCCTGGGGATCCAATGCCCTCTTCTGGCCTGCATGCATTGTATGACACAGGTACCCTTACATACATCCAGATGAACACTCATACAAATAATAAATAAATAAATAAATAAATAAATAAATAAATAAATGTAAAGCCTTCATTAGAGCAAGAGACCATCACCTGTGTCTCTGAGTCAGCCTCCTAAAGCTTCTAGGACAATGGACATGATTTGTGTTCAGCTCGGCTTCTCAAATCTCCTACCTCCCTATCATTGCTCCTGTAGCATTAGTTTATGTTTTCTGATTGGAATGACTACTTGCAGGAACATTTTGAAAGCAAAGAAAGAGAGCCGGGAATAGTGATGCATGCCTGTAATCTCAGCACTCAGGAAGAAGGTGCAGGAGCATCAGTGCAAGTCTGAGGCCAGCCTAGTTTACAGCAGCCAGCCAGGGCTACTTAGTGAGATCTGACTCAAAACAAAACACCGAAAATGTGTTTAGTTGTTGTAGTGAGAATAGCTTAAGGAGGATTTACAAGGATTTCCATATGCTGAGAGCTTATTAGCAGAGCACTAGAAGCCATTCCCAGGGAAGGTCTTTACCCCTGGATATCTTAAAAATAGACTTGATCTTCACTAGAATGGAATGAGAAGAGGTGTGGTTCATTATTAGTACATCCCTGCAGGCTTAGAATATTGTACCATATTCTGATTGACAGGAAGACAAGCCAACTCTGGAAAGCAGACCTTTGCCTGGGACAGCCTCTTTTCTACCATAGATGTGTAGATATTTTACTTCATTGGCTGGCTTTTTCGGATTATTAAAACTTTACACACCAGAGTCCTTTCCGCCTCCACAGTTCAGCCAGCTACCAACCTTGCTCCCTGTTCCACTTAGGAAGCTACAGTGTGATGCGAAGCTACATTCTAAGGCTAAGTTGAGGAAAACCATTTTGTCTCCTCTGACACATTCCTTCAGCGGCTACCGGCAGGACATTTTAAATTGCCCACTTCTACTAAAATAGAAGACCAAAGTGTCCCCATGGTTCTAAGAAGTAGAGGAAACTTGAACTACTTAGTGCTTCCCAAGAGAATTCAGGAAGATAACTAGATGACTGCTAAAATTACATGCTGCCACTAATCTTGGAGGGCTCTGGGGGTGTAAGATTCTGAAAAGGCCTAAAGCTGTATTTTGTGGTATAGTAGCCACCAGCCACAGGTGGCCAGTGAGCACTTCAAATATAGACAGAGTGCCAATTAGGGTATGAATGTAAAATAGACACTCAATTTTGAAAGACTTCAGATTTTAAAAGTGAAATGTTTTATTAGTGGTTTCTATCTTGATGATTCTATGTGGAAATTATAGCATTTTGGAATATATCATTTGATACAATATATATTTAAATTAATTCACCTGTTTCTTTTCAATATAACTATTTTGAAAGATTGAAAATTTAAGTGATGGGTTAGACAGATGGTTCAGTGGTTAAGAGCACTTGCTGCTCTTACAGAGGACCCAGGTGTGCTTTCCACCACCCACATCATGTTATTCATAGCCAACTGTGAGTCTAGCTCCAGGTGAAACAATGCCCTCTTTCGGCCTCACATATATGCGCGCGCACACACACACACACACACACACACACACATATAAATAAAAATAAAATAATTTTAAGACAGATGTGGTGGCATACACTTAATCCCAGTATTTAGGAGGCTAAGCCAGAAGGATCTCAAGTTTAAGCTGCAGTCCAACCCAGGCTACATAGAGAGAATCTACCTCAAAATCATAGTTATGTTTTCTGTTTGACTTCCTTTGGGCCTCACATCTTATCTCTTGTAAATGGCTATTTCCAGTGGATAGAGAAAGGAATGGGTTTCCCCTGGTCATTCCTTTACATACTGTGTGTGTGTGTGTGTGTGTGTGTGTGTGCATGTTGTACATCTGTGTGCATGTGCATGTGGAAACCAAAGGACAACTTCAACTTTCATTATGTAGGTACTGTCTGCTTTATTTAGTGAGTCAAGATCTCTTACTGGCCTGAAGGTCACAAAGTAACCTAGGCTGATTCCCAGGGATCTTCCTGTCTCTGTCTTCACAGTTACAAACCTGTTGGGTTTTTTTTAACATGGGTTCTGGGAATCATACTCAGGTCCTTATGCTTGCAAGGCAAGTACTTTATTGACAGAGCTCTCTCCAATTCCACTACTTTCCTTTGAGCTCAGCTCCTAATCCTGGCCTGTGCAGTCTTTTCACATTGTGATATATATTGTCAACAACATAGTTCATGTTCAAGAATCATACAATGTCTTTATAAGGGGGAAAACTCACAAAAACTCATAATGTTACATTTATAATTTTGTGTTGGGCACATCTGTAGCTATCCTGAAGTGAATCTGATACCTATAGGTGAAAGATTTTAATGTCATGAGTAAGTCTTGGCTTGTTAGGTGTAGAAGAACCTTCCATGGCAGTAGATGAAATCATTATTGCCATCCCGTCTCTTTCCTCTGTCTGACAAGGACACTGGTATATATCTGTCTTGAAGGTTAAGGAGCGTAATATGGGATTTGAATAAAATAGTTCTAGGGACAAAGTAAACATTCTGCCTACTGTTGTCCAGAAAAAAAAATCATGTATAAATTATTCCTTTAAAAAACCTAGAACCCTAATAGTGCCACATAGAATAAAGGAACAGATTATGGGTAGATACCCACACATACAATCACTGTTACATCCCCTCCTTAGCCATTTCATGAGTAATATTTTGTGAAAGGTACAGAGAATTAGTTTCCACCCAGTAAACCAGGAATTCCGCCCCCCAAAGCACATGCTGCCAAGAAAAGAGAAGATGAGTTGCTTTCCTGTTTTCTCAGCTGAGCAGGGTCGGCAGGTGGTGCCTTCCGATTGGCTGGCTGGGCCATCTGCTGAAGCCTGGCTCATATCAGCCATCTGCTTCCCTCTCTGCTCCATTCACCAGGAATTCCTGCCTCGGCCAAGGGCTCAGGAAGATGCTTGCTGAGGTTGAGAACAGACAAAGGGACTCAGCATTAAGAACCTTCTGTCCAGGACCTCCCAGGCCACCAGGCCACCTCATCAGCAAGAGCCAGAGGGGAGTGGGACAGCTCCACGGTGAGCTGACCTCAAACTTCAGTGTGTTGCGGTCATTATTTATTAGGCTCTCTTTTCTGTGAAACTGGGCACATCACCAAATGAACAAAACAGATGTCTTTCCAGACCCTTGGGGTGGCCGATAATATTTAACATTTTAAAGGCACATGGCAAAACAAATAAATGTGAGGATAGTGTATAGACAGATGACATGATGGTAATTCCATATGTTGTCAAAAATTCATTTAGTAGTGTGGAAGAATAAGAAATAGTTCATAAAATGTGCACACATGGCTAAATAGTGTCCCCATTGGGGAGGTGTAAGAGGATGAGGTACCTGTCCCTTGGCCAGCAAGAACTTTTTTTAAGTTGTTGAGCATTTATTTTGTGCTTGGTGAAAACAAAGACAAAGCCCAATCTCTCTAGGGGGATGTGAGCATGCAGAGTGGCAGGGTACAGGAGACTGATGCTACCATCTGGGGACACTCCCCTACCCCCCCACCCCCCGCCACACACATGGCTCCAGAGCCAGACGGCTCAGCCTAGCACAGCACAGGGCAGGGTGGAGAACAAACCATCACTGTGTCTCTGGATCCAGGGCCTACTGGTCCAGGTTGCTGGTTGCCTAGCAACACCTCTTTAGTGTTGCCCTTCCCCCACATCTTCCTCTTTCCCCTCATACTGCTGTTCAGTATCCCATTTCCCCCTTGAGGCTAATCTGAACTTTGTTTAAAAATACACTCATTACAAATATTGAAAATTGCAAACTTTGTCCTATGAAAAAGACGATTTCATTTTGGCTCAGGGCAAATGTTGAAGGGAAAGTGAAGAAAGAAGGAAAAAGGAGGCATGGGGGGCACTGCAGAGCACTGCTTTCTAGTTTCTAATTTTTGCTTTGGTCTTACTGCTAAGTCTTTTATCTGTGATCTCTTTACAAAACCCTTTCCATAGATCCTCTTGGGTAGTGCTGTAAGAGAACAAATACAGATAAGGACCCTCAGGAGAAGCCTGTGGAACTCTGTGCTCTGAGTCTCTGTTTCCTAAGGAGGGATCAAAACAGAGGGGTGATTAAAACAAACTAAGCTCACAGGGCAGTGAATGATCTTCCTGGTGAGGAGAAACACAAGAACACAAACATACACCCGTGTATACCTCTAAAGAGGGCTTAGAGCTAGAAAGAAGCTGGTCTTCATGGAGGGGCTGGGGTAACAGGAACCCAAGAGTTAACACACCTAGAGTTGGCACTATTTTATATCTGTAACTCTCAGATTGATTTTGACACATTGCCCCATTCAAATACTCACTAGGTAAATGTCTGTTATACATCTACTACAGCGCTATGCTGATCCAACCATCCCTCCTTTTGGACTAAGAGTCTGTGTCTAGAGATGATGTTATTATTTAGACTATCCCACTGTTGGGGAAGGGATTGGAATAGGGTCCCCCTGTAGCCCTACTGGCCTGGAACTCACTATGTAGACCAGGCTGGCCTCAATCTCATAGAGATCCATCTGCCTCTGCCTCCAAGCCATGCACCCCCATACCCATCTAGACTATCACTCTTTACAAGTCTAGCTGCTTGTTTTTCTTGTTCCTCAAATGGTCTGTGTTGTCACTGCTTGCTCTGTGGTGATGGGGACAGCTCTCCTTTTCCCTTTGTTTCTGCCCCTGAATCCCATCCTGTCAGGTAAATAAGGACCTTAAGTACATGAGGGGGCGGGTGTATTCATTCTGCTAACCAAAAAAGGAAGGAAGCCCAGTTTCCAGGAGAAAAACAATGGCATCTTCAAGTATCAGAGGTGGTAGTAGAAATCTGAGCCATGCCAGAGTTTCTCAACAGCTCTTCCCTTGTACACCAACTCCTCCATCCTGGAATCACTTCTTTTCCTCTTTCCTTATTCAGTCAGTACAGAGCTCATGATTTAACCAGCCCAGCAGTGGTGATGGTTCCCAATCTTGAAAAGCCCTAGTCCCACACCTCCCTCTAGCTGCAGGTCTCTGTGACACCTCACTTGTGTGGTTCCGATTTCACACTCCATCCTAGTACCTATCCCTCCCTATCAATCAGAACCACTATCTCCTTGCATCCTATGAAAATTAGCTCACGAGTGTCTGAATCAACCAGGCTCAAGAACCTGCACTCATGGCTCACTTACTCCTCCACGCCATCTTCATCCTTACATCTTGCCAGTATTTTTCCCCTGATAAGGACTTTACCTTCCCTCTCCTTTCCAATGAATACCCCTATGTAGATATGATGCTCTCCATAGACTCACTGTCATATAGTATGCTTGAAGTCCTGGGATAGCACTTCATTGACCTCCTTCATCCGGTGTGCCTGACCACCCCTGTATGTCTTACACCACACAGTCAGGTAATATCTTTGTGACCTATCACTGCTCAAAAGCTATTAATAGATCCTCTTATTTGAATTTCTCTTTTGGCTCTCAAGTCCTTCCCTATTCTGACCCACACCAAGCTTACAAGAGACAGAATGTCAAAGACATGAAGAAGGTATTTTGCCCACTCTCTGGTGGACCCTGTGGCATTACACTTGCTATCTGAACTTAATAATTGCAGTGAATTGAGTCTGTAATAATGGACGAAAACAACCATAAGACCTTTCTATAATTAGACCAGTGGTTCTCAAATTTCTTTTAGCTACAAAATGCTTTGTCCGATGTCGTATAAATAGAAGAGGTTTAACTCCATAGGCTTGTTCCTTATTACTAACAAAGAGTCTCAGCAGACACCTATGAGACAGAAATTATTATTCTACATCAATATAAGATGATAGTAAATTTAAGTGTCCTTTATGCAAATAAATGCATTCACAAATAGTTCAATGCAATTTGATCTTTCCTTTTAACTGCATTGGGAAATTGAATAGTTCAGTGACTCATCATTATAATAGTTCTTTTAATTAGCTAACACTCATTTTTTATACCAGATTCTATTTGAAAAGTTTAGTAGATGTGTGTATCATCTAATCATCCCTGTAGCTCTACAATATATGAAAAAGATTGTTAATGTTCCCACTTTTCAGAGAAGCAAATTGGGTACAGAGAGCATATATAACTTATCCAGACTTGCACAGAGAGCAGATTCAAAGCCAGGCTTCACAGCAGAATAAGTATGTCTGCCTCCCATAGGCCCCAGGGTCTTTCCTTCCCAGTGCTGCTTCAGGTTCTAGAGTAAGAAACAGGATCCAGAATGCTGAGACCATAGTCCTTTAAACCTGTGTCTGACACTTAGCATCTCTATGGCACTGGCCAGTTGGGTAACCTCTTTTAGCTTCAATGTCTTCCTCTGTAAACAGGATACAGTGGCTGGCTCCAGCCTGAAAACTCCAATTTTATCAGTATGCTAATAACTGTCTCAAAGACTTATGATCTGTAGTGAATGAATTAGAGCATGTGCCATGCTCAGAAGACCCCAGGCCCTTGCTAAGTCTCTCTCAGCTGGAGCCCAAAGCTCTCTCAGACTGGACCACTTGTAGCTATGACAACCTGGGCAGCCGTTTCTTTTTGCTTGTTCATCTATAAAATTGAAATGTTACCTACCTTGACTTTGGGGTAGAATAAAGCAGACTATAGAATGCTGCTTCATTTATGGAGGGGTTATTTCCAATTATTTTGCCTTTTTTGTCACTATGTGCAAGAGTTTATGGAGTATTTGTAGAGTCTCAGGGTCACTAGACAAATGATGAGTCCTTCAAAACACACCTTCATTGCCTAACCATATCACCTGATCTTTCCATGGATACCCATTATCCCTACTTATCTTTCCAATATCACATGTATCTCATACAACAAGGTCATGAGATGACAGGAAAAATATTATATGCATGAATTCATGTGGGGTCTGGATAACCATCTAAAGACTGGATTAGATTTTGAGCTCCCATGATATCCGAGCTAATCATTCATCATTCTTGGGGATAAAATAGGGGAAAAATGATCTCAATAGTTTCTATGACAATACTGTATAAATGGCCCATCCTTGGTGTATGACATTAAATGATGCTGAAGCTCGATTCTATATGGCTGGATCATATTGGTCATGATCTGTGGGAAGGTAAAAACAAATTGAAGGTACTTCATAAGCAAATATATCATTGGCTTTCTCAGCCCATGCCTTATAGACTCGAGTTACCCCAAGTTCATGTATTAACAGCTATTTCCCAGTAGGCCTGTGTACCTTTTGTAGAGGTTATAGTCCCCTGACCTATGTTTTTATAGTGTACAGTGGGACCCTGGAGGCATTTAAACACATTTTGGGCCACTGCAAGGCTCAGAATTCTTTGTAACTAAGAAGGAAGATGGAATCCCATCCATATCCCAGGATCCTCTGGGGAATAGTACTCTCCAGGGAAAACTTTACTGCTAGCTCACACTGATCAAGGATTTTTTTTTCCTTTTAGGGAAGTCAGTTTTAAAATTCCATGTGGAGTCCGTTGAGCATGGTAATAGATCAGTACAGTGATCATTCAATTTTAAATTGTTGATGGATTGTAAGATATATGACCACAATAAAGTGAGCCATATGTTGGTATTATCAAAAATCCTGTATGAACATTCCGCTACTCTGACCCTCCTATGCTTATAATAGTGTCAGTGGCTTGTACTATACCAGAAAGAGCATCAACAGACTAATAACTATATATTTCATGCTACGATCTTTTAGAGCTGTAATAATCTGCCAGAATGCCTGGGAACCTTGTTCCACTTTGCCATATGGAGTAACAGTCAAAGCAGCACGAGAAAATCATTGCTTTTCACTCCCTTTTGGAGATTAATGAAATGATGTACAAACTAATGAATCCTGTGCTATCAAAATGCCTTTAGTGTTAAGTTGGGTCTATCACATGCACACACATTTGCACACACATAACATTTAGGCATCATAATATATACATATACACTCACATACATGGGCTTATGTTCACATGAACACATTGATGCACACTATCATAATACACATATTCATG